AGGTACTGGCCCTAGACATAGCATGGGCAGCTGAGCTGCCCTCCCTTGGCTGGCCTGATGACCAGGCTTGCTTCCTCACTCACAATGTGAAGGCAGTCCTATAAACTCCTTGGCTTCTTAGTGTGGGGCTCTCGAAGGTGAGCGGGGCTCTGAAGTCATGTTGTCCTGCTGTGGCTTCCTCCTCTCTTTGCAGGTTATTTGGAAGAGCAGTGGCTGGTGGGTGCCAGGCACTAGCTGAAGGTTCAGTGCGTAAGTGACTGGTTACTCTAAAGAAGCAAAAAGTGCATTGGAGATTTTCACTGCTGCTTGTAAGCAAGCAGGATATTCAAGTCGGTAGCTTATTATCTCTCAGGACTAGAGAATGACTGTGAGAGGATACCCAGCCAAGCTGCCTGGAAACCCCTTAGTTGTTTTATCAAGAGAATTGTAGCTGAGTACCACTGGTGAGACCCAAGGAATATGACTGGTGGAAAATACAATTGTATCATATTGAGGACTTTCTACCTTATTCCTCTTATATATATATATAGATATCTATATATTTGTAATCCATTGTCTTATGAATAGTACCTCTGTAGGGTTCCTTTTTGCCCCATGCTTGCAAATAGTTGGATTAAAAACAAAAAGAAATATAGCCCCAGCAAGATAATGCAGGTAAATTTGAATGATCTTGACATTAACTTGAGATACAGTGAGAGATGCTCGAGTTATGCTGTAGCTTTGACACTTCGTAGTGTTGCCCAGGACTGGACTTTCATAAGAACATAGACTCACAGACTGGCTTGGGTTGGAAGGGACTTAAAAGCTCATCTAGTTCCAACCCTCTGCCATGGGCAGAGACACCTTCCACTAGAGCAGGTTGCTCCAAGCCCCGTCCAATCTGGCTTTGAACACTGCCAGGGATGGGGCATCCCTTTGCCTTGCTTCAGAGGTATTTCAAGCCTACGTGCTTTGATTCAGCTTTGTATTTCAAGGGTAAATCAATATTTATGCTCTACAGCAAATAGTTCCTTCACAGCTGAGAATCTGGTCCTTCCTGTCTAGCACTTGCAGCTAGGAGGTTGCCAGAGGGTCTGAGATTTAGGCAGCTTGAGTGGTAAGAGGAGCAGATGGAGGAGTCAGCACTGCAGGCTGTGTATACACCCCTGCAGTTAGCAAAGGCACGTACTCAGTGGCCACCGAGCCTTGTTGCCATTAGTTTAAGTTTGGCTGCTGACTCTGTAAAAAGCAAATTACCTCTCTCTTGCTTAAACAGAAGCCAGCTTTTGGTACCTGGTGCCTCCCTACACTGCTTGAGGGGCACATTTTCTGTTGCTGCAGGAGACCAGATGGGTTAGATTAACCTTGGATTTGTCCAGTCTACAGTAGTTTCTGTGGTTCTGTGCTAATACAGTTGCTCCTGCCTATTTGCTGACTATATCTGTATTTGTGAAGCATGTATTAAAGGGGCTGTTTGGTGCTGTCCTCTGGCAGGCGCTGGATGATGAAGTCCCTGTGGATGTCATTCACAAACTCACAGCCATTGACAAGTGGTTCCTGTATAAGATGCGTGGGATTGTGAACATGGAGAAAATCCTGAAGGAAGCGAACAGGTAAGAAAAACCCAACAGACTTATCCTAGGACACAATAGTCCTTCTGGGTATCCTTCTGCTGGGAAGCCCATGGTAAGCCCTGAGCACAGATGCAGTCAATGCTGAGAAGTTTATTTCAGTGCTTGGAGTAAGCAGTGTTGTCTTAAAACCTAGTACACTTCCTCACCCGGGCAGAGGGCATTTCTGAGAACACTCTTTTTGGTAAAAGAACTCCTTTGAGTGCTTAGGCATTAGCTGTTCTCCAGGATTATGGAAATTCTGGTTTACTTTGGAAAATCCTCACTGTATCTCTGAGGCTAAGGCTGGGATTCTGGATGGCCTGCAATGAGTCACAGCAGGCTGCACTTACGTACTGAGGGCAGAGCCTTCAAACACAGGACTTGTGCTCACTTACTGCACCTGCAGGTCAAATACACTGCTTTTTCTCTGGCCTGGCCAGTTGATTTTTAAGCTTTCCTGCGTCGCTGTGATCATGCAGTACATGTTGCTTTTGTACTTAACACTTTCAAACATCAGTAATTCCAGCCATATTTAAATATAAATCTTCTTTCTTCAAGAAAAACGACCACATAAAGCTAAGCAGGACAGATAGCAGCAAATTAACGTGCCAGGCTGTATTTCAGTTCCAGCCTCTTGCTGACTTGAGCTTTCCCTTCATGGTTTACGAGGTAGGGAGAACCTCCTTGCTGAGTTACTGGCTTTGTGTTGGCCGGCTTTTCTGCTTCGGGTACCCGTTGTGTTAAGCACGTTTCACCACATGATGGCACTGGGAGCGCACCATAGCCAGTACATCACTGAGGTGCCTGTTAGTTCATCTGCTGTGATTTTTTGCTTCTTTGACCAGCTGCACGTTTTTAATTAAGCAGCCCTTGCTCTCCCTTGCCCCCGGAACAAGCTGGATCTGGAGCTAAGCAAAAATAATATGGAGGGAGAAGGAAGTGAAGGAGTAGCTTGGTTATTTACTGAAATCTATTATTTGGCCTTTTGCCCTCTAACATCTGCGTCGTGTTGCATTTGGCTGGAGCACCTTAAATATATATGTGCAGCTCCTGAGGAAGAAAATCAATATATCCAGAATCACTTTGATTTCCTCACTGTTGGAGTGGCATGCTCTGGAATGGGGCATTTCAGATCTCAGAGGTTGGCCCCATCTTCAGCTGGTGTAAATCCAGTACTGCTTCACAGGGGCTAATCATGCTGACCTGTCCTATATCACTGAGGTTGCTTTCCCTTTCTCTGCAGTGGGTGGCAAGCCATAATACTACTAGTAATCAGTAGTTGGTAGTTTTTCATCCTTCTGGTGATTGGGCAGCAGACTGTATAGGAAGCCCGCTACAGAAATACCTTTTGAAGTATCCAGCCTTGCATTTGTATCATCTATAACCAATGTTGAGTCCTTTGCAAGTGGATTTGTGCAGTTCAACTCGGATTGCAGGCTGTATAAATTAACTTAGTCTCATTCATTTATCAGTGCAGATTTTCACTCTACTATCCTTACCTAGACTTTCCCAAGGAAACTATCTTAGTTCTCAACCTACACTGGAGGGACGGCATGGACTGCCTGGCTGCATTTTGTTGAAGGCACGTTGGCACAAGGCAAAGAGCCAGGAAAAACCACTTCTGACCTGAAGTAAGAGACTAGTCCAGTGAGAGCCCCATCAGGAAACCCATCTCTGCAATAGCCAAGGGAAAGCTAATTGAGTGATGCAAATGAGACTTGGCACACACATGCTCTTCCTGCAGCCAGCTGTTTCCAGTCCCCAGCATGCCTGGCATGAGTTTTACCTGTGCTACAGGATTATTTCCAATTGAAAAGAATGAGCTGTGACACTGTCATTGCTTTAAATCTTTCTTTGTTGAAATACAGTTACCAGAACCAGAAGCAGTTGCCCTGTTCTCAGGCACTGTTGCTGGTTACATGCTCACTCTCTGGTCAAATACATCCCTTCCTTTTTGAGGTTTTGGATGCAGTTGGAGTAACACCTCTGCCAAAAGTCTTGATTTGAGCCCTGCAGAGAGAGACTGTAGAGACTGATAACAAGGAGAATGTCTCTGCCAAGAGGAAATTTAGAGCTAGAACAAGTGGTTATGACAGATGGGAAAGGGGGATCAGAGGCAGGTGGAGGCCTTTGTGAGCAGTTCAGCAAGCAGCATTCACACACTGCATGCTGCCTTGCATCCTGACCTCATGGAGTGATTCCAAGGTGAGCAGAAGGCCTCATTGATTTGTGCAGGGAGTCTGCCTCCATGTGTGAAGGTTGTATGGGATAATGTTAGGGGGCAAAAAAACCCTTTCTGACCTATCAGTGTTTGTTCTCAGTCATATGCAGGCAAGGCCAGCTGTGTGCAGAGAGAGTAGATACTAGAGAAGGGCACCTTCTGCCCCATAGACATTTGTCCCAGTGAACTCCTTTCCAAAGAAGATTCGACCTGCTGATGGTGAGACTGTATAGTTGTCATGCTGCAGTGATGTTTCCATTTGACTCTGCCTCTGGGCCCTCTGAGATGGTGAAAGAGTTGTTTCAGGTTGTGATATGGCTGCAGGAAAGTAAATGGCCTGAGTTGAATTGGAAAAAGAAAGCCATTTTGAGAGTACTTCTGAGAATATCCAGTTATGTCTCACACATGTCAAACATGTGCCTCTGCTGATTCTCCTGCAACCCACGTGTTCTTCATTTTAAATGGAAACTTACACTGGGGGGGGGTTTGTTGTTTTTTGACCAATTATCTTCACACCTTCAGTAATGTCATCTTAACCTTTCCCACCATACACACACCAACAAAACCACATGTACCTATACACACAGAAAGAGGAAGCGCCATCCCTGTCAGTCCATGGATAGGTGATGGCATATGGAGCAGTGGCAGTGCAATAGGATATGCTGTTTTCAGGAAATTCTTTCTCTAGATTTGGCCTCACCTGTCCCATTAGAAGCCAAAGGGGAAGAGGGAGCAGAGTGGAGGGGAATACCCCTAGAGTGATCCCACTTGACCGTTCATCACAATGACAGCTCCTGGAGGAGATGGGAATTTGAACAGACCATGTCTAGCTGCCTGAGGCAGTGAGGAGCGAGATGTGACTTTGAGGGCAGGGTTATGGACACAGTCCAGGGCAGGTCAGATTTACAGTAGTGTCCAGTAACACCATCATCCCCAAGAGCACAGCTGAAGCCCAGACTTGGAGGTGACATCTGGGGCATATTTGACTCAAGACACTGATGGTGTGGGTGCAAGGGAATTTGCATCTTGTTCTTTGACTGCCTGCAGTGAGTATTTGTTTGCATGTGGCCACGGTTGTTTTAGATCTATTCCTGAGTTTGTGATCCCTGAGAACTCTGGCTTTATCCAAGCAGAATGTGTGACAACTACCATTAAATGTAGGTAAAGAGGTAGGCAGCTATGGTGAAATCATCACTTATGCCCAGATGACATGGGGACAACACTTGGTTGAAAATCAGTAGGACTTGTCCTCCTAAGTTGCTTAGGCATCTCCATAGCACTTGAACCTGCAATTGCTTATATTTGCCATTACTTGGGAGCTTGTGTGGGAAAAGGAAAGGTAACAGGCTCAAGTTTACTGCTGGAGAAAATCTAAGAACCAGGGCAGATTGGGCCATCTTGCAAGAGGCAGAAGTGTGAGTATGTTGCCCAACAAGGAACATTTCAAATTCATAAAAGGCTCTAAAGCAGAATTCAAGTGAGAAGAGAGGAGCATGATAACTGCCCATTTTGCAGTTGAGGAACAAAGCATGGAGGTGACAAGCTTGCCCAAAGTCTCAAAGACAGTCTGGCAGAGCAGTGAACTGAACTCTGCCTTCTCAAATCTCAACTCTTCAAATCAACCTTAATGAAAACAGGAGATCTTCCATTTGGTGGATACCAAACAAGCCAGCCTACTAGCAGTGGGAAATGGTGACACCAATCATGTTTTGATAACTTTGTACTTTGGAGCTTTGTTTTGGAGGAGAATGTGTCCTTGCTCTGTGGTCACTGAGTGAAAACACCTCCTGGCCTCTGGTTTGCTTGAAAGTGCAGTCCTGACTATTGCTCTTGTCCTGCCTAAAAAGACAGAGGTTAATAGAGGGGAGAAGAGAAGAAAGTGGGAAGATGCAGATCCGCTTCAGCCCAGCATTTGTAGCCAGGTGCTCTGCTCAGTGGCCCATGAAAGAAGTTGCTTATTGTGAATTCCTTTTCGAAGCTCATGTCCTTGGGTGTGTGAAAGGTGTGCTTTGAAAGCTGCTTGCTGGAAGCATGACTTGACTTCAAAACCTGATCGTGGTGGAGCAGCCACAGAAACACGGGTGCTGGAAATAAATTCTGGTTCCAGCAGGTGATGTGGGAAACACGCAGGGAAGAAAGGTCAGACAGGCCATCAGTAACGTGCTTGTCCACAGTGGTGGTTGCACACCCACTCTTAGTAGCAGTGTTTCTGCTGACTTGTGTGCTTTTGGGACAGGTCAGAGATCCTAAGTCAGACCTTGTGTGAGTATAAAGCAGAGCAGGTCTAGTGATGCTAAATGAGTGACTTACACTGTTTGAGGAGCTGTCACTGGCATATTTTTAGTACTCGCTGTTAACTAACTGGGAAGATTACTTTTGTCTTCTTTGTGAACTGTGGGGCAGAGAAGACTCAGGCACAAACTAGGAATTCAGTACATGAGGAGCATATCAACCGAGCAGCTATTCAGCACTGCTGTTTGTGCTTTGGGTGGATCTGACATAAGATACTTCCTGTTTGTTTTATGGCTCTTACTTGGTAATAATTTCACAGTTGTATTTTCTCTCAAAGCATCTGTACATTTGTAAGAACACAGTATGCATTTTCCCCTTCATATAGAGGACGTACAGGCATCACCATTTAAAAGCCATTGGGGACTCTCTGTTACCAGTACGTTCAATACCAGACGCAGGAGGGTTTATGCCATGACATCCCAGCAAAGACCTCAAAGCTGTCTTTTACCAGGGGTAGAAAATAGGCTTGAAGGAGCATCTCTGACCTATTTCTTGGCTGTGTTTTGGGGTGAGCTGCTGCTTCAGCACATCACTTAATCCTAGGTGTAAGTCATTTAGGTCTTAGGGGGTGTGAGATTTGTGTTACTTAAATCAAGATGTCTACAATGAGATTCGTTAGCCTAGGGACCTGGATGTTAAAGATGCAGAGTTCTGGAGTGATGGTTGTTCAGTGAGCAAGATTTGTTGGTTTACAGCTCCTGCTTCCCTAAATGCTTCTTTGACAGCTTTTTGTCAGTCATCTCATGAAGTTGCTCAGGAGGGGAAAAATGGTAACAATCTGTCTCCTTGAGAGGAGAAGCAGGGAGACAATTTATACACTGATCTTGTTATTTTAATTATAGTGTGTTCAAAATCTTGTAAAACATCAGGAGCAATCAAGGAAGCCACTAGGAGCCTTGGAGCAGAGCAGGACAATGAGGAGAAGAGTTAAAATATGTCGCTGTACATAATCCAACCTGAATCAAGTAGGCTTTTGAAACCCTCCAGGTCTATGACTACTGAGAAGGGAAGAGTGCTCTCAGGACTAGGCCTGAGGCATTTTGGTTCCAGCACTTCTTGTATTTGGTTCACTTTGCTTGCCATAGTGAAACTCTAGTCTGGGCTTAAATCCACTCCCTCCAGATTTAGGAGGAGCTCAGTTTAAGACTGGTGGGCTGAGCTGGAGTGTGCTCATCTTTCCAGCTCCTGTGTGCATGTCCAAGCCGCATGAATAGCTGCTGAGATAAACCAGAGGTGACCTGCAGGGCCTGTGGGCTTACAGGGCAGATGTTGACTGACACAATAGCTGTGTCCCAAAGGCTTCTATCGCAGGCTTTGGCCCTTGCTTCACAAAATATTCCTAATCCTTTTGGTCAAGACCCATTAACATGCTCCTGAGTAATAAGTGGATGGGTGTAAGCTTCACAACAGACCTAAAACGAAGCAGAGCCTGACTTGGGAGACAAGGAAAAAAGTGCTTTTTCCTATGTCAAGCTGGGACTTTCTGCTGGCATGTTTCTTTAGCATTACTCCTAAACTGGTGGATCAGATGAAAGCCAGTCAAGTGGAAGAGAAGGCCGTGCTGAAGTGAGCAGGCTCTCCTGGTAATTACAATGCTGCCAGCGTTCCTCCAGTCACTTAATACATTTCCTCAGGTCCTCTGTGCCAGGTGAAAATTTCCTCATTAAGGGGAATTTATTCCATTTCCTTTTATCATGTGTTATTGAAGAAGTGAGTGGATGGAGTTCCAAAGATGACAGGGTGGAATTTTAAACAAAACAACAGCAGCAATCAACACTGGAAACTGAAATGGAGGCACAAACAAGGATTGGGAAAGGCTTGTAGTATTCAGAAACTGCAAAATGTGCAGGGGACTTCAGCCTTCTGAGGGAGTGAGCAGCCACTTAATGCTCATGGCAGTGTGCAAAGGTCTGATTGTCTGGTTTTGAAGCTCTAAAACTTCTGACTGTCATTTTACGAAGGCAAATGTTAGGGAAAGGGAGCATTGTAGGAGTCTGGAATCACAGCCACTTAATCATCCCTTGTTTCAGAAGTGATTCTAAACCAGTGAGGGCGTTTAATCTTTGGAAGACGTCTTGCTCTGTGTTTGAAAAGTGAGTGATGGTCCAGCGGCAAGTGGGAGGCAGTGATGTAGGACTGGGTCATGTGTTTGGGAATAGCCAGAACTGAGAATTTTTATCTTTTAAGTGCTGGATTTCTGGTGAGCTCTTGGCAGGGTTATTTGCACTCAAGCATTCAGAGAGATCAGCCTGATTCTGCTCTTGCTGGCTTTAGTGTCTCCAGCAAGTCAGAAGGACTTTCTCTGAGCAAAGGCAGTGGGAATGCTGGATCTTAAAAGCCATTGCCCCTTAGCCTCTGCGTGTCTCAGTTTTGCTATCTGTAAGACAAGCATCACCCTGCCATACTGTTTGCATCTTTCCTTGTATTCTTTCCATGAAAGTTGAGCTGTAAATGCTAAATGACCCTTATTATGAAATGGATATTATCCAGACATGAAGATGTGTGTCCAGTACATGCAGAGAGGCAGCCTGATTTCCATACCAGTGCTAAGGGTTTGCAGCACTCTCATCCAGTTCCCTTTAAATGTGGTAGAACAATTCTGGTGGCCTACTCAGCCTGCCCCTTCTCCTGGTCATGCCTCTGAATCCCTGGGAGCTGCAATTTCATCTCTCATTGTAGATTCTGGTTTCAAGTGCTTGGAAAGCAGCACTCCTGCGTGTTTGACTTTTACCTGTTTTCTGTGAAGATATGAAATGGCAAAACTGTTACATCCCCAAGGTTGGGTTATCAGTCCTAACCTTCCCTGCCTCACAGTGAGCTGGGTGCCTTTCCTCCAGGTTAAGCTGCCTCCATGGCAGTGAGAGAAAAGCCTTCCAGTCTAGGTGCTGCTGGAGTAGAGGTTCCCACTGCATCTTTCTTATTAGCTACATTGAAAGCTGCATCTCTTTACATCTCAGTTCTTTTTCCTTTGTCATGCATTGGGAGCAGCAGAGGAAATAAATGTACAGTTTTTCCCCTTTAGATACTCAGCTTTTCTCTTGTGCATTGGTTATCCTGTACAAAACTGGTTACCTTTTTGCATGGATTAGTAAATGTCCTAACCTAATTTAAGCTGCTAGCCCAAGGCAAATGAATAATGTCACCAATCACTGCTTCTCTTCTACCCACCCTGCTTGGGGGGTGAGGATGGGGGGGGACGGGACAATGAATGATTCTGTTATAATGAGATACAAAGAAACTGAATTGAAACAAGCTGCAAATGAAGGCAATTTTCTTTCTCTGTCAGTAACCAAATGACAGCCAGCTATGTGTGTTTCTGAGGCAAAGAGTAAACTGCACTAAACAGGCTCATTTTCTTGGGGTCATCAGGTCTGCTCACTCATACCTAGGGAACGCAGAATCTAGGAGAGAAATCTGACGTGGCTGCATTCTTCTTAATAGCCAGTGATGGCCAGCATCTGTTTTGCCAGAGAATTGGTGCATTTTGCTTTGTTTCCTCCTGTGAAAGACCCATCCATGCCTTATGCAAAAAATCCTACCTCTGAGCTGAGATCAGAAAGTAGAAAGGGCTGAGGGGAAGCAGAGGAGTTTTGCTGTGGAGGCATTAGTGAATGGGAACCACAGGCTTTAATGTACTCTGGTGCTGCAAAGTGGGTCTTACTCTGGGAAGTCTTCTGCAGCCAGGACTAAATCCAAAACCTGGGAAGCTCAACCTGCTGGATTAGGCAGGGCTCTTTCCTTCTGATGCTAGCAAAGAGCAGGACCTGCTGGACTAGAAGAGTGATGTGGTGGAGGGTTGTGGAGAAAATGAAGGTGATATTCCTGCCTGGAGTTCCCCGAGGGCAGAGCAGGCTGGTTGCTAGTGCCAGGCTGGGACACAGTGCAGAGGACAGCAGTTAGAATGAGCATTTCCTTTCTGCAGATCTGCTTTTGCTGTTGTAAGTAGGTGGAGCACCCTGTTACCATACTGCAGGGGAGGGAAAGGTGGCACTGGGGAACTCACAGAAGAAAAACAAGGACCTGAACCCAGAAGTTTGTGGTGCCCAGTTCTGCTCTCAGAACAGCTGGTTTGAGGTCTCTTCCAACCCAAACCAATCTGGGAGTCTATGACATTTCTGTGACTCTTGCCTGTTTCACGCTAGCCTGACTTCACCAAGGGCAGCAGAGCTGCCTAAGCCAGAGTGGAAAATCCAATCCAGTGACTCTTTCATGCTTCAGCTTCCTGACACATTCCAATAAAGCGGTCTTACCCCTCTCCTCCCACTCAAATAACATAATGCTATTTATTTAAAAATACCATCAAGCAAAGGACATAATTCAAAAGCTCTGATTTAGGAAAATTGCTTGTTTGCTAATCATTTCCTTTTTCCTGATTCAGAGCTTGCTTGCTCATAAAATATTGATATATTGGGCAGGCAAGGATGCTCTTGGCAATGAAGATGAAAAGCAGAAGTGCTGATAAAAATACATAGGCTTTTTTATGTTTGTGCAAAAGCTAAGCTTCAAAAAAGTAGCTTAGAAACACGCAGGCAGAAACTGTAAGGGCTACAGGTGGAGTCAAAATAGAGTGGAACAAAGATACTGTGGGTAAGAAAAAAGTGGAGAGAGTAAAAGGGGAATGGAAAAGATGGAAAAAATCAAAAGCAAAATGGGCAGGAAACTGTTGAGCTGCAGAGATGGCCAGGGAAAGGGAAAGCAATGTGTTTGGAATAAACAGCAAAAAGCAGGACTCCTGAGAAGCCAAACCAAGAGAACAAGAACAGAGGGAAGTATTGAGAGAGCCTGGCTGCAAATCTGAAATCAAAAAAGGTGTCTCTGCTTTACCCTGGCTCTACCACTCTCCCCATTTTCACAATGCAAGAAGGAACACAATGATGTGGGAAAAAGCGTACTTGACATTGTCAGAAGGAAAAACCTGCCTCGCACATGAGCCTCTGCAGGTTATTTCTGCTATGGGTCTCTGAAAGTCAGCTGCTTTTTCTGAAGACTGGCTGTTTCTGAAGGTAGAGCATCCTCAACAACAGAAAGAATGTCTTGTCTGGGACAAATTGTAGGCCTGTATTTCACAATTTAGACTGGGAGGAGGAGAGAGAGTGTTAAAGTTTGGGCATGGAGATGTGGGGATGCTGAATCCAAGAAAGGAATCGCTGCAGCTCCTCCATGGAGGCTGTAATGCTACATGACCACACAGTCGTGGATGCGGTGACCTTGTGCTAGCCTGGTGAAGAATGCTGCCTAGGAGGTGATGGACTTCACCATGAGTCACTCATTCCTGTCTCAAAAATGCAAGGAAAAGAAGTGTTTCACTTCACTATCAGCAGCCTGCCTGTAGATTTCACCTTATAGGTGTCTGTGGGAGGCATCCAGCATGCAAAGTATCTTTCATGTATGAGGATTGCATGAACTAGCTGGGTCTTCTTGCTCTTCTTTGCCTTTATGTGTACTATGCTATAGCAACCCTATGCAGTATAGAAACCCGAGCACTCCTATATCTTCTAAGTGTTCCTGTGAAGCCTCATGCAGAGGTGTTTTTCTTATTCAATCCCAGTGAAACAGTTCCAGAAGAGACACTGAGGAGAGCCAAACAGATCGGGTTCTCAGACAAACAGATTGGGAAATGCCTGAGGCTGGGTGAAGTCCAGTGTCGTCAGCTGAGACTGAGGAAGAATATAGTGCCCTGGGTGAAACAGGTATGTGATAAACACCACTCTTCAGTGGAGACCTCCAAGAGTGCAAGGGGCAGAAGACCTCCATGTGGTTAGAAACAGCTGAGGTAAACCAAGTGCAAGCCCTGGCTCTGTTAACATCCCTGAGCATTTTGACATTGACATTAGAGAAGAACAAATTACACCCACATAGCGGTGACTTCTGTACTACAGGCATCAGTGTAATGACATGAACATCACTAAAGAGCAACTCGGAATGTTCTTGTTCATATTCTGTGTGGCTGGAGGGGAAACACAGCTATCTGGCTTCAGCGAAGGGCTGAGAATGCTGGCCCACCATGGTATGACCATGGAAAGTGTAATGTGTCTTTTCTCTTGGTAGTAACTTTTTACAGGCTATGGGTTCATTTGCTATTCATTGTGATAGCACAAGCATAATGAGCTTATCTAGTATTCATGGCAGTGTCATGAGTTCTTTACTAGGTGTTCTGCTGCTGCATTTAAGGTATGTTGGTGTTGAATTGCCACCAGCTGGGTTTTTTTTGTCCTTAAAAGGGAGGGAAAAACCCCAACCCAAACTACTGAATGTCTTTGAAAGAGCCCATCTGTATCCTCAGGCCCAATTCCAGGTGCCATGAAGTACAAGTTGCAGTATTAGCAACAGTGATGATCAGCAGACACTTACATAGTGCTAATGACATAAGGTCATGTTCTCCATTAGTCACAAGGATTTGGGCAGCCAGTGGGGATTTGTGAAAATACTTGAAGATTGGACAGGTTTTTAAATGGTATAGCATGTAAAAATTCATGTCAGGACTGCTTTACTATTGCTCCCTGTTCAGCATTCTGTGTAGAAATGGCTCAGGTGTTCATTCAGGGAACTTCAGCAGTCGCTGGTGACCTAGATGGACTAGTTACCATGTATAACATGCAATAAGTAGTTGACACAAATAGATTGTGAGCAGCCTAGTAGGCAATTATTCTTCTGGGCTCTCTGGTGACTAATTACATAAGAAATTGTTGAATACTACATATAAGGGGTGGTTGAAAATCACTCTTGCTTTGTGTACCATTTAATTATCAAAGCACGAGCTATATTGTAACATAAATACATAGTACTTGCACTGCTTGCTGCTACTTGGCATGATCTCAAAGTAATATCGTATGTGTGTTTGTATTCAGTGTGGGAGTAAGATGGGGTCAAGAGTATAGTGTGAAGATCCCAGAGCAGCTAAAAAGGGCAGAAGACCTGGAGGAACGGATACCTGTGTAACTAGTGCTGCCAAACTAACTAGTGAATGAGGGCCTCGGCAAGAGGGGGTGGATGAGGAAAGTTCCTGGTCTGTGAAGGTGTTTACCAGAGGCGCAGAGCTAAAACTGCAGCTTAAAAAGAGGTAGTAGACTGTCCTGCTGACTGCACTGTGAGGTCCTGGGGGAAAGCCAGGCATATGCTGTGTTACCAGCCCAGATCACCTCCTTTTGAGGAAAGACATTATGGAAAAATAATAGGAGAGAACTAGGAGTAGAAAAGGAAAGAGGGAAAAGAAAAACCCTGAAACACCTGCATGTAAGAAAGATCTTGCACTGGCCAAGTCACAGTCCCTCCTCTTCTTCCCCATACAGATTGACACACTGGCAGCAGAATACCCAGCAGTAACTAATTACCTCTACATCACCTACAACGGGCAGGTAGGAACGTTTGGAAACAACAGTCTCATTGCTGTCTAGTTTGATCTCTTTCCCCTGTGCTGCGTTATTTCTGGAGATCTTGCAGATGTGTTAGTCTCTGTAGCAATTATTCTGGATGGTGTTACTTATGATCCCCTTACAGCAGGCCTGACATATTGTCTTACTCAGACACTGATCTAGTGCATTTAGTGTTAATGCTCCTTTCTTGTTATGATCTCTCATGTATCACCTGTACTTGCATCTTCTGTGCATAGGTCAGGTGCTGGGAATACAGAACTCATGTTTCACTCCTCTCATCCTAGCATTCATTTTAATGTGAAACTTAATAGCTCCTTACACTGCTCAAATAGCCAGATCAGAGGTGCTGTGTCTCCTTTGGTTTGGGTGCAGCACTAATTCCAGTAGAGTTACACTTGACTTACAGTGCACTAAATGAGATCAGGCTTAAAGCCTGAAGGATCAGACTGTTGGACATGGGCTGAGCACCAGAAACTGTTTGTTCTGAGAAGCATGGAGTTAGGTGCAGTGGAGTACAGATTGTAATGACTTTTCTCCCTCCCTCTCAGGAACATGATGTAAAATTTGATGACCATGGGGTGATGGTGCTGGGCTGTGGACCATATCACATAGGTAAATCTTTCTTACAACTCCTCTGTTCTCCTTGCACCCTCGAGCCTTCTTTGGGTATTCTTGTGGTTCATTTGTTCCTCCTCTTATATGGTGACAAAACCCTCCAGAGCACAGTGCACAGGACATCAATTCCTAACACAAGGTTTGCCTTTTATACTTACTTAAAGCCTTCATTTCATGCCCTGGAAAAAAGGGGAGAATTTTATTACTTTTCAGTGAGTCACCGAGTCGTGATTTCCACGAAGTTTTAGGGATTTATTTTTAATCTCACTTTCTGTGCATGTTAAGGTCTTGAGAACCTGATACCTTGTGTTTGTTGTTCCCATACCTGTCTTATGTGTTTACTGCCAGCTCATGACTATGTTGTTACATACTATGCATTTTACTACTGTAAGTATAGGTGACTATGACAATGTTTGGATACCTTCAGCTGCTTTTGTTCAAGCAGTTCTCTGTTGTTTTTTCAGCCCACTCATATGATTATGCAGCATAAGAGTTTCCTTGTGGCTATGAGTACTGAGTAGTCAGACTGCTGAATCCTCTGTATGGTGACTTTCACTTACTCTTTTAATGGATCCTTCCAAATAGCTTGCAATTATTGACAAGAAAAAAACTGCTTGTTATTCAGAAATATTTTTGTTCTGCCTCTCACAAGCAGTGGTGATGGTGTTTGAAAGCTGAAATGTAAAACTGCATCCATTAGTTTTGCTTGGATGGACAGATCACGTGCCACACTTCTGGTGCTCTTTGCAGGATGTGTCTTTTTGCACCCAGTTTCCAGTAGGAATGTTGAGATGAGTGAAATCAGGAGGAACACTCCATGGTGATGCTTATTTTTTATGAGCGCTTCTGCCAGTCAGGTGTGGTTTAATGATTTGATCAAATGTATGTGAATATATTTTGCCCTGTTCACCTAAAACCTCCCAATTCTGATCTTAGTCTTACCTGTTCTATAGCTTTGATTGGATCAAGACAATGTTTGGAAGAGGTTACAACTAAATAAAGGCTGCTGAAGAAAACCATTCCTTGACCTTTTAAAAGATTTCCTTTCTAGGTGCAATAGCCAAGCTGATTTTTTTTTTCCCCTCCTTCTTTTGTAACCCTTTGAAGGCAAGTGAGCAGCGTGCTTTTCCTCTATGTTTTCAGAACTGTAATCATAATTAAATGGAGTCAAGTTACTGTTCCCTGTGGATTTACATTTACAGAACAGGAATGGGTCAGGAAAGGGCTCAGTGATTTGGATGGAAGTTAAACATGGGACATTACTTTCATTTTAAACAAGATTCTTATTTCCTTTGTGAAGACTGAGAAACATGATGTGAATTCGTTCAGCTGCACACTCTTGAACTTCAGAGCTTGCTTTGAGGCACCTTAGAGCCTGAGCTGCAGTGGTGTGACCTGTGCTCCATGGGGTATTGCTCTTCACTTGCTGCCTATCCTGGCAGGGGAGTTTGTTTGCGTGAAAGCCAGCCCTGAAAGCAGTACATAGCTATTCCACCAGCTGCATGGACCAGCAGAGTGCTCTGTAAATTTCAAGGTGTGCATGTAGGTTTAACATGATTGAAACCTGAAAGTGAATTCAAAACCATACCTGTATTTATGGAGCAATTATCTTCTGAGGAACAGTGCCTTCTTATGTTAGAACAGACACTACAAGTATTACTAAATATTTGCTGACTTCCCTTTTCCCACTGTCTGGACATGACCATTACTGGATGTGACTGGAATATATTTACAAGTGTTCAACTGTTTTCCCAGGTTGTATGTAAAGCAGTCAGATGGGGACTCCAGATGACCATTGTGTCCCAAAGTTGAGGTTTCTTACGTGTATAAGGATACATGAGTAACAGAAGTGGAGTACAAAAAGTGAAAAAGCATCTAGTAACTCTTCTGGGAAACATCCTGTTTCAGCTTTGATTTCCCTCTTTTCTGTGGCCTTTTGGCAGAGGCTTAGGCATGGTTTGACATTCCTGTTTGAAGAAAGTAGGGAAATAAATTGTGTGCCTGTGAGTGACCTGCGACAGCCATCTGCTTGTGACTACGTGGTGGAGGCAGCAATTAAGCACAGCCTCAATTTCCAATGTATCTTGGCACACATTGATATAAAAAAAATAGTATCAGTTGTTATCGTGTGAACGCATCATGATGAGGCCGAGGTTTTCTTGTAGACTGTAAGCATTTACCATTTAATGATGTTTTTTAGCATGCATCATTCCATGTTTGTGGTACCCATCCTACATGTTTGAGTGTAGAAATGTATTGGACAGTAGCTGTTAGCACAAGTCTGAAATCCAGCACTATCTGAAGCCTGCAGTGTTGCCTGAGTCATAAGTCCTGCAGTCCCAATTCCTGGTGCTCCCTCCATGCTTCTTTCTTTAGAGGTGGCCACAGCGTTTACTCAGGGTTCAGGACAGTAGGGCATGCTTGCCCTTCAGTGTTGCCGTAGTCACTGTGGCCTTTGAACCAAGATAAAAGGAGCACAGGGTGGCTCTAAAGGTGGTGTTCTACTGATTTGCCTCATCTAGAGTCATCAAGAAGTCCAAACCACTGACTTGCAGTTTTTCTGTTGCACAGTTAGCCATACTCTGCTCTTCTGGAAGGCACTAAACAAGTCTTCCAGTTTTTAATCCATATCTGTACAAATTCTTTGTGCTTCCTGGAGTAAATATTGCTGTCTTAGAATAATGGGCACTCAATCTGGTCACCTCTAAGGTTCTGCCTCATATCTCAAAGCACATTGGTTGGGAGGCACTAGTAGCTGGATGGGCAGCAAGAGCAGACAGAAGTGTTTATGAGCACAGGATGACAGACATGAGTGTTTATGAGCACAGGATGACAGGCATGTTATAGAGGCCTGTCACTCCTGAGGAGCCGAGCCAACTGAGCTGTTGTGCTTGGAGGCTCATGTTTGTGGATGATTAGTTTCCATGGGAGGACAACTAGATTTCTTGTTCTGAGCTGACAGAAGGGAATGCTGTTTTGGTTCCTTCTCTTTTCTAAACTTGAATGCTGAGAATGTCTGCTTATGTTTTCTTCTCTGCATCCTTCCTTTCCTTGCCCACTTTTCTGCCTCCTGGCAGGCAGCAGCGTGGAGTTTGATTGGTGTGCTGTCTCCAGTATCCGCACGCTGCGTCAGCTTGGCAACAAGACTGTCGTCGTGAATTGCAACCCAGAGACAGTGAGCACAGACTTTGATGAGTGTGACAGACTGTACTTTGAGGAGCTGTCGTTGGAAAGGATCCTGGACATCTACCAATATGAGGTAAAGGAAAGCAGAAGCACAACAAAAAGCCATGAAGCGAACCAGGCTTCAAAATTCATGTCACTAGCTCACTTTGGCGGAGCAGCTGGGGGCGAGGGGGGAGAGCTTGCTAGCAAAAGCTGTTTGGTTTGGATCCCAATGTTGCATTTTACACATCATTGATGTTCCTAGCAGACTGCTCAATAATGAATGCCAAATAAATATTAAATTATTTTGCAAGATGCCATATTGTGCAATATTTACAAGCAGATTTAATTTGCTGCACAGTCATTTATCGCACAAATTGTTCTGTCCTTATGGTGCTGAGCTTTAGCACTTGTGCTTAAGGTCAAGGATATGCTTAAGTACTCCTCCTGAAGCAGTAGAACAAGTGATGTGCGTAACTAACACGTGCTCAAGAACTTGCAGTCTTGGCCTTGCAGTACAGTGGGGATGTGATCGAACATGCAGGCAGGCAGATCAGGCAGGGGCATTGGAATAGCCATCAAACAAAGTCATGATCCACCTCCTGACAGACATTGCACTTGTCTGCTAGGAGTTTCCAGGTGTTCAGAAGTGCTGATACTAAGAGATGGAGAAGAGTCCCACACAGATTTGGTCATGGGAGGATATATATTGTAAATAGTTGGTCCCAGTATGGTAAATATTTCTAACTGGTAACAAACTGATCTTGGGTTTGTGGCTGAGGGTTTCAAAGGTATTCACAGGAACCTCGCCTCCAGTGTGAGCTGGCAGTATAATAACTTGCTGAAGCAACTTCACAGAACCCAGGTTAAACCCATAAGTTTAACTTATGATTATTTTTTTTCTTGGCTCTTTTTCCCCATATATGACAATTTGAGCTCATCTCCTTTGTGAATGGGTGCAAGTTTCTAAAATGTTTTTAGAACCTGGCTATGCTTGATCATTCCCAAATTTGGAACCAAAGCACATCGGTACTTAAGTCCCAGTCTCTAGGTTCTGTTCATAAACAATTTGCAAAATACTGTCTAGGACCATTTTTAGGTTGTATCTTCACACTTTCCTACGTGTACATGTTGGTTTAGCTCTTTAGGTTTTCATAAAATCAGACACTTACTGGAAAGCACGGATTTAGGACAGGCCAAAAGACTCTTGTGGAGACTTAAAGGCTGGTTTTTGAGTGAGGCTCAGCTCTGTAAGCATTGAACTCTTGGTTGCTTAAGCAAAACTGAACTGCTGAACTTGGGGCGTGGAAAAATTTGCTGTGACAGTTTGTCAGACAAATAACACTGATGAAACACGTCGTCTAATTACTGCAGGATCAAAGAGAAGGTAGAGATAGGTGATGAGGGAGCAACTACTCATTTAAACACATAGTGCTAGTAATTAGCAAGTTGGGTAAGAAAAATATGTGAAAAGAATAATGCATATATATTGGAACTTGCATCATCCTGCTTGTCACAGCAGAGCTGGGTGAGTTTGATGGGAGGCGTTGCAGATCTCAAGGTCTAATAGCAGCATCCTGTGGTACCCTGAGCTGAAGGGGAAGAACACTGCTGGCAGTTTCCCCAGCTCAGCCAGCCATGCTCATCATGGGGGCTGTAGTCATGCTTCTGGGCATATTTTTAGGCTGTTTTGCTTGTGAAGTAAACCAAAAAGTGGTTGTGAGAGCAAAGAAGGCATGGAGAAGGCAGCAGGAGCTGAGGTGGTAGGAATGAGAAGGGAAAGAAAAGAGATGCTGGGAAGTTAGCAGAGGATTCTGCTACTCTGACTTCAGTAAGAAAACAACCCATTTGATGTTTGCACTGGAGGTGTTAAAGCCATCAGGGGGTCTCAGCCTCAATGTCCAAAGTTAGGGTTGTGCAGTCTAATAAATCCCAAGATGAATAATAAACACGCAGTTGTTTTAGAACACTTAAGTAGCCACAGAAGGGAATGGTGTCATTATGTCAATGTAAGTAGGGAAATGGGGTCTGTGAGGAGAGGCTGCACAGATTCATGTAAGAGGACATAGGTCTGGGGACAGGCTCCAGATCTCCAGCAGAGTGTAGTGTAAAATATATTGTTTGCTATGAGTGAGCCACATGCTAACATCCTGGTAGCAGAATACTCCCTCAGGCAAATGCAGCTGGAAGCCAGTCCTTAAAGAAATGATCAAGTTAAAAAACCAGGATCCGATTCGGAGACCCCTCACCAATCCTGCAGATAACCATCTCTCCCAGCTTCACATACAAAGCATGAATAGTGCCATGATTTCAGGCTGATATTTTAAACAGTTCTGCTTATTAGCCTCCTCTAGTGTTCAATATACGATGAACAGAGATAAGTAACTCTGAAAAGTCCTGGATCGTTGGCAAAGCATAGGTAAAACCATCACCAAACGAGAATCATAGAATCCCAGACTGGTTTGTGTTGGAAGGGGCCTTAAGACCACCCAGTTCCAACCCCCAGCCATGGGCCGGGACCTTAAGATCATCTAGTTCCAACCCCCCAGCCATGGGCAGGGATGCCTCACACTAGATGAGGTTGCTCCAAGCCCTATCCAACCAGGGATGGGGCAGCCACAGCTTCTCTGGGCACCTTGTGCCAGCGCCTCAGCACCCTCACAGGGAAGCGCTTCTGCCTCAGAGCTCATCTCAATCTCCCCTCTGGCAGGTTAAAGCCATTCCCATTGTCCTGTTCTTACAGTCCCTGATGAAGAGTCCTTCTCTAGCACCCTTCTACCCTCCTTCAGACACTGGAAGCTGCTCTGAGGTCTCCACACAGCTCCTCTTCTCCAGCCTGAACAGCCCCAGTGTTCTCAGCCTGTCTTTGAATGGGAGGTGCTCCAGCCCCTGATCATCCTCTGGACTTGCTCCAGTAACTCCATGTCCTCCTTCTGTTGAAGACACCAGAACTGTACACAGTGTTCCCCTTTTCCCTCAGTACAGCAGATACATCAACTCTCTAAATATTTTTAGGATTAGCAGCAAACCTTTGGCAACTCTTTAGCTCAAACAAATAGATGTACTGATGTCCCAATTTTTCTGATTAGACAGATGAAGCTAAATTGGGGATCAGGGTAACCAGTGAGATGGAGTGGACTGGAACCTGCCTACCAAGAGCTGCTCACAGCTTCACACAGTCCTGCCCCAGGGATGTACTCACCTGTCCCTCCTCATTCTCTCCCTTGTGCCCTCCTTTAACTTCTCTCCCTCCAGTCAGTATTCACAGCTCCTGTGACTCACTGGAGACAGCAGAGCCCTGCTTTGGAGGGAAGTCTAATTTGCTGTCAATGTGCAATGTCAGGTGGCAGTCTATGAAGACAATAACTTAAAGAAAAAAATAATCCTTCCCTCAGATTTATTGGCTCTTTGTTTCCAGAGAAGATGTTCCCTTTTTATTTTAATATCTATCTGCTTGAGGGCCTCTTCTGATTCTTTTTCAGTTTCTAGGATCATTCTGAAACAATTCATAAAACTAAAGGAGGCTCTTAGGTACAATTTTAATGGTCTAATTTGTTTTCAAACTCAGGGAAAAAGAAAACCCAACTGTATTACTAATGACATAAAAGCAAGGTAGTAATAAAAAGACTGATTTTTGTTATAAAGGGGAAAATAATTCTCTCCAGGCTTCTTCCACTTGATTATGTATAGCATATATCTTAAAGGTATCAAATGGCAAAGGTGTTATTCATTTTCTTTATAATTAAAATATGGCTGCTGACAAAGTGATACGCAGTGGAGTCTATTTCTGCCTGCCCACATTTGTCAGTGGAGCAGTCCTGTTGCAGGGCAGTGGGCTGCTCTTTGGGTCAGAGCATACTTTGGGAAATAACACTGGAATTTTGAAAGGAAGATGTAAGCAGCAGCTGGGTCTCAATTTATGGTTCTTTTTGAGTGCAAATGAGTATATGATTCTTTGCTATCTGCTTGAATAAGTCATCTCCTCTTCCTCCTTGGGGCTGGAGTCCCCAGTGTCATCCCAGCTTGGATGCAGGAAATATTTGGATTTTAGAGGCTCAGTGACTACAATTGTTTTAAAGGAAGAAATAAGCAGTAGCTGAAGAGAAGCTGTTAGCTGGGACATTCACATTTCCAGTGTGTTGAGGATAAATTAAGATGCTGGTTGACCTTGGCAGCAAAGCTAGGTTGACTTATTATCAAACAGGAACCATTCCAAGCTGCAAGAAGGGGTTTGCTTATTCACTGTCTGGTCCTTGTCTATGTGGGATGATAAGGGGCCCAGGGACTAGAGATAAGTACTGTATTTTGGACGGGTCTGGAAGCAGTAAGGAACAGATTTTTCTTCTGAGTTGGAGATAGCAAGCTCTGATGTTATCAGACAATCCCATGTTGTCCCAGACAGCCTCTGTCCTTGCTCCACCCTCTACTATTCCCTATCCTAAGCTCTTTCAGGTGGCCACTGTTGGCTGGCAGCAGCATGTGTTCCCCTATGTGACTGCACGGTGAAAAGGAAAAGAAACTGTCTCCAGCACTGTATATTAGTGTGTTAAGCAAACAGTGATCTTGCAGACCTTGGGATAATAAGTGCTGCTTAAATGCCAGACTTTTTTAGTGGAGTTTTATTATGGTAGGAAATTAACCACGTTAAAGTTGAGCAGCGTTTGTAGTAGCATTTATCACCTGTTTTTTACCAGTCATTTCTAGTCCATCCTGCTCTCAGCTTACAAATCTGCCACTCTGCCTTTTCAATGCCTCATTAAGAAGTTCCTCTTCTGGGAAGGCCAGTGAGGCAAACCATCTTCAGGAAAAACACACTTGTTAATTAGAAGAACACTGGTACTCTAAAAGATAGAGCCAAACCGTGGATCACTTGATTTATGTTTCTCATTTGCTAAAGGTGGGTAAAACTGTGCAAAATACATTTGGTTCCAAAGAGCTTTTCACTGCAATTGTCCTCTGGGCCTGATTCTCCTTTGGGCAAAGTTTCACCAGCTTTAATTTGGAAGCAAAGTGCCCATTATTTAATTACCCTCAGTTATTACACAATCTAAATGTAATTTAGGTCCTCATAATTGTTACAGGTACTCTAAGGCCTTTTTTTGCTATTGAAAGATTTCACACCAGACTAGGTTGTACTTGAAAGCATTAGAGGTTCTATGTAAAAACAAAATGCCTATGTTTGCCCTGAAGAAGTAGTTGTATTTGCAAGCGAGCTCACCTGGCTCTTGTTATTTGCTGATTATTATTACTCACTTAAAATGTTGTGCTTACCCAGTGACAGGCATGAAACATGCCATTGTGGCTGGAGGATGCTGTGCCTTTTGTCCTGCTTCATTCTCTTCTGGAATTGAAGTGCTTACAAATAGTCTGGGTGGAAAAGAGCATGTATGGCAGTTTGGCTGAAATAGTTGTTACTAGTGAGTGTGCTACCAGAAATGAGGAGTTAGGTAGGAGTAATGTGATTGAATTAAAAAAAAAAAGGCTAAATGTGTCCAGAGTAATGCACCATCACAGGCTGTCTGATGGATTGGGCTCTGTTGAAGTAGATTCTGCTTCGTACAGGCCAGCAAGGGGTCAGCAGTGAGCTCTCGTTAAAGACTGGCTTCTGGGGCTAGGGAAGGTTGGTTGCTGAGCAAAGTACAGTGCTGGCAGAAAAGAAATCCAGTTGTTTCCCATTGCCTCTCTGCTGGAGGTTACTGCTTTGCAACTCTGTAGGAGTAAAAAAGAGTTTGGGTGGATGGCTGCTACTCTGGAAGTCTCTGACCACAAGCATGGGAGAGGCTGTTTTCTTGGAAGAGCTTGACTGAGAAAGAAAAGGGACATAAAGCATCTTGTTTGTTCATGCTGCTGGGTTCAAAGGTGGCAGCAGGCAGGTGGGAGTGGGCTCAGGGCTGATGGTCCCCATGTTCACATGTGTAGAACACAAAAGAGACCTGACTCCACCACGCAGAGTTTTGAGTTTTGTTGTGGGGTGTCACTCTTTCATAGCACTGTGAAGCAAGGAGCATGTGTCAGATCAGAACTTACCCTCCCTGGGAAAGCAGCAGCACCTAAACGTGACATGAAAAGAAGGCAAGTCTGTGACTGTAGCAGAAGTTACAAAGTCATGGCTTGGTGTCAAAAGGCATGTGAACACTGCAGTTTTCTTTGGTTTCCTAGAGAATTTGACCTCAAGTTACTGCTGGATTTTGAGTGATATAAAGGAGGATATTGCTGTTTTAGAGAGGCTACACACTCTGAATCACACTTTGTAGCCTCTGGATCAGCACAATTATGATCTGCGTTTGCTCATAGCAACCTGAAAAGTGACATAATCTAAATATTGGCTTCCTAGTTGTAACAGCTCTTAATGTTAAGCCAACATGGATGTGACTGTGCCCCTTTCTGTCTGCCAACAGGGATGCAGTGGTTGCATTATTTCTGTAGGAGGGCAGATTCCCAATAACTTGGCAGTTCCATTGCTCCAGAGCGGAGTGAAGATCCTTGGCACAAATCCTTTGCAGATTGACCAGGCAGAAGATCGTTCTGTATTTTCAGCTGTTCTGGATGAGCTGCATGTGGCCCAGGCTCCCTGGAAGGCAGTCAGCACACTGGTGAGTTGGGATGTGCATCTGGGAAATGATGAAGCACTGGGGCTTGTTATGAGCATCTGTTCAGGGTGGACTGACTTACTGGTATGTTTCAAGACTCCAAATACATTTGACAGTTTTTTTACTGCTGATGGTGAGGAACCTTTTGATCCCTGTAAAGTGATGCTATACCATGTCTGAGAGTGGGATGGAAATTGGAAAGGAGGTATCTTTAAATCATCTTTATTCAGCATGGGCTATATAGCCAGCAGAAGTCAGCACCACTCTCAGGCTACTCCAGTTTATCCTGCTGGCCTTGAAAACTGTTCTAGGAGGTGGAGATTGTGCAAGGGAATAGAAATGTGTCAACACTGCTCTTCTGCTGGTGAAGCTCTATGGACAGGCACTTTCTGAAGATGACAACTCGGGAACCAAGAAGTGGTGTATTATGTTCAGCCCAGGCTGTAGTCTCTGATTTCCTACCTCACCCCCCAAGTTTTAATGCCTGTTAAAGTGCAAATGCAGTTACAGGTGAAATTTTGTAATGGCTTCAAAATATTTTCTTGCTCACAGTATGCTTTTCCTCCCTTTTTTCTAGAGAGATGCAGTTGAATTTGCAAGCTCTGTGAGTTATCCATGTTTGCTGAGGCCTTCCTATGTTCTGAGGTAAGGCTTAACCATCAGAGCTCATCAGTTTTGGAGTATGAACTACAGAAGCCTCTTTGAGACAACGGAGAGTAACTTCAGGGGATGTGTGGAAAATGCAGTGCTAGGTGCATGTGGCATAAAGCTGCCCATCTTAACAGGTGGGACAACTGCACAAACCAATGCAGGAAGCCAGTGGATCCCGTATGTCCATCAGGCACAGATCAAAAGTAGAACATAAGTATAAGAATGCCTGTTTAGCTGCATTGTCTTTCTCATGCCTCAAGGCTAAACCCACAAACCATGCATGGTGTTACTTAAGGTTCCTGATACGACTACCTGTACAACAGAGCCAGAAGATTGTTTGCCACCAGGAAAACCAGAAGGGAACATGCTGAGGCCATTTAATGGGGCTGGCATCTATTTTCGGAAAGTGACAGCACATCTTTCGTGTTCAGCTTCTTATTTGCCAAGCTCCTCTGCTTACAGGCATGTTTTATGTCCCTAGACTGTGGCAGCTGCTCCTCATTAAATAGGCATTGTGCAGAGCCACACATTTCCAACAGCTTGACTTTCTGAAGAAGTTAGAGCAGCGCATACAGGCAGCAAACTCGTGCCTTCTGGATGATCACTCTTCTCTGCAAGGAGTTTCTTCAGAGCTGGATGACTAGGCACAGAGAGACAGTTTGTTGGGCACAGTTTACAAGTGAAAATAAATTGGAGACAGGATCCTTTTTGCATGAGAAAGATGCATATCAAAATGAGGAGGCACAGTATTCATTTTCAGGGGAGAAAAAACAAAACCCGCAACACCTTTGTATTTAAAAAGATGAAAAGGAGAAGGATTTATTGTGTGTTCAGCCCTCAAGGAAATACCCTTTAGAAGAGACTGCTGAATGTGATTTTTTCTATCCAGTTTCTCAAGCTTGCAGTGGGGTTGTGAAGCAAAGCTAAAAACCAGCACTTGGATAAAGGGGCTAAGTTAGAAACAGCTCCTGATGTAATTCTGCAGATTTTTAGGGAACACTTCTTTGAGCCTGCTGTTTCCATGTGTGTTAAATCCAGTATGGGCCCTTTCCATGTGAGTGTTTGCTAAAGGGTGTTTGTGCAGGTTAGGGTGACTTCAGGGAGAAAGATGGAACTGGAGGATGTAAAACTTGAGGAAATAGAAAGTGAAAAGCCCTAGCACAGCACACTGCCTGGCCTCTATTTGCAGAACAGCAGCAGGTCCACAGCTAGACTTCATCATCCTTTGAACAGACACAGCCTTTAATATTTGCCACTTGCCTTGGAAAACTAAATGCATTTTCCCCACTAGTTGTATACTGTGTGTACCAGCTTGCATCCTTAGTGGTGCTACTGACATAGGTCCTTGGATTTAATTGAACACTATTGATTTACATCAGCGGAGGAGGTAGTCAGGTAAGTATAATCACACAGGTACTTGTGTCTATTTATCCTAGGCTGAAGTGACTGATTTTGTAGGCTAGATCCTTCCTGTACTTTTCCCCACAGCCTCTGTGGGTTTGCCCATCAAAGCAAAGAGGAAGCTGAGCATCAGTGGTAGAAATGACCAATGTAACATCTTTTTCAAAGGGACCTGAATCACTGACTGGAGGTTCATTAGGTACCAGCTCTGCCTTTCTTTCAGTTAAGAGTGGAGCAAGTGACTTGGGTCAGGAGCTTGCTTGGCTAGTCTCTCATACAAAGGTAGTTGGCAACCCTGTGCTGTGGTGTCTACCACTGATCATCTCCCTTGAAGTCTCAAGGAAAGCTGATCTCTTTCTTTTCTTTGCCATTCCCATAGTGGGTCCGCAATGAATATTGTATTCACTGAAGAGGAAATGAAGAAGTTCTTAGCAGAAGCCACCAGAGTCTCTCAGGTACCACTCTTCGTGCTGCTATTGTGTTTTTTGTTTGCTGTATTTGTTTCATTTCTGCTGTGTTTTTCATCTCTCTGTTTCTGTGTTGCATCTTCCTCGCTTGGTGAGAAGCCAGTGAAATTAGAGTTTGACTCCTCAGTTTGTTCCCTAACAAGCAGACTACAAGAGCTTGTGCTTGACCTAAACTGAGACCACTGGGATGCTCACATGGAGTGGAGATGGAAGTCAGCTCTTGTACCTAAGCATCAATTTCTGAGCAGTTAATTATGTTAATAGAGGTAGGGTAGCTGGCTGGCACCCTTCCTACCCCATGCAAGCTCACTAGTAGCAGGTTCTGCCAGCCAGCATAGAACCGATAGCCTCTTTCACTCACTTCCTGAACTGTTTTGCCTGGCTTTGACCAACTTCAAACTTCATCCTGGCATCTTCTCTCTCACCAATGACTTCTATTTTTTTTACCTTTTTAAATGCAGGAACATATGCAGGATTTTGCTGTGACATTTAACTCTCCAAACCATGTGCTGAGAACAGTTTTCCTCTGATACAAAAGCAGGACTGCTGCCTGCTTGCTGTTAATCCAGTGGGATTATTGATCTGCAGAGTACATAATGCACAAGATGAAAGCTCTGGCTTCCATTTGAAATGTTTTTCAAAAGCTAATTTGGGGATTTTTAAGTGTCTTTTTCTATCAAAGGGAAGGATTTGGTTTAATACATTGAAATTTAGGAAAGGAAAATCTGAGCAATTTCCCAAAGACATGAATGCTTCAGAACATAGTAAACAACTCAAACCCCAAATTTCTACTATACCTTCTATCAGTGTTATTGTACAAGGGTTGTCTGGGGAGATGAGAATATGGCAGGAGAAGAAAGTTAAAACACTTGAGGTTGAATGAAGACCATACAGCATTCAACAGTCTGACCTTACAACAATTCAGAACAGTACTATAGCACCATAAATACTACTGTCACAGGAATCCTGGAGTTAAAAATGAGTAAGTCAAAGATGAACATAATATTACTGCTTATTCAGGGGATTTCTTAAGTGGTTAAAGCTTGAACAAGAACAAAACCATGTGGTTTTTAGGTGTATGAGATAGCATTTCTGTAAGAAAAGATGGAATGAAGAGAGACGCCTTGCAAAGTGATAGTATCCTGAAGGATAGGTAAGCGTGGAGGCAAGCAGACCACTTATCATCTTTGAACAACTTTAAATGGATTTTGAAAGCAGGAGGGTATCACTGTTACTTCTATCAGAAAGAATTCTATAACTAATTCTCAAAAGCCTTACAGAGTCAACCAGTGGTGGAAGCTGGATTCTTAGTGGTGCTCAGCCTCCCAAAACACCTCCCTTCCCTCAGCACTTCATCTTAAGTACTCTGCTTTGTGTTTCGCCACACATTCACAGAAGTAGACTTTCTGCTGCTGGATGGCTTTGTGATTGCAGTAGATACACTATAGGAGGCTGAAGCCCAAGAAGGTGACCCTTATCAGCTTAACTTGTCACAGCTTGATTGACTTGAATTGGGCAGTGCTGTTCTGTGTTGCTGAGATGTTTCATACCTGGTACAGGAGGCCCTGCTGGGAGTTGAAGTTGTAGAGCCTTGGCAATACATGATGTATTCCCTGGGGGAGAGAGTGGATGTTCCCATGGGATGCTTGTGTCCAGATCTGCCACACAAACAAGGCACTGACACTTGCTGCAGACAGGACTGGTTGCACACCCTGAGTCTTTAGGTGCTCTGGCCCTGTTCCTGCAGAGACTTGCACTAGATTTACACACTCAATATTTGCTAGTGTAGTCAGACTTCAATGGAAGGACTTCTTTTTCATGCAGTATTTCATACTGACAAAAACTATAGTATAGTTGAAGCTAAGCTAGCAAAAGGCAAGCCAGACTGAAAGTACTGTATTCTGCTTCTAAGTTATAGGGAGGTTTTTTAGTCTCATCAAGGCTCTGTGGCCTGTGAGTGGTCCCACTATTGTTAGCTGTAAGCATACAACTGAACATGTTCAGTTTGTGGGACACAGGCTTCATTTTTCTGCTTACAAAGCTTCTTCTAGTTCTGCTCCATCCAACAGAGCATCTCCAGATAAAGTGTCTGACCAGTGTTGTTCTGTTGTTTTAGCTACTTTGCTGTTGCAGTGTTGTGCTGTTGTGGCATTTTTGTTGTCAGGAATGTTCAAAACTTCTTGTTTGAGTTGAGACACATTGAAGTAAGCAAGGTTCTATGGACATATAAAAACTCCTGGTGAAAAACTGCAGCAAGACAGAAAGTTACAGGACACAAGCCACTAAATTTATGAAACAGTGTAGGCTGTGGCATTGTCCTTGCCTGTGAATTTACCCTTGCACTGATAAATGTAAGGAATTGTCTTGTAACTTTTGGAGTTGCTTTGTATTTTTTTCAAGAGGAGCCTTTTGAACATGCACAGAGTGTCATTTATTCCATTTTATTTTCTAATAAATAACAGGCAGTTAATAGTGGCTGTGACAGGTAAAATGTTGAGACATAAAGCTGTCCAGGAGGAATGCAGATTAGATTTTTAACTGTCAGAGCACATGTCTGGAAGGAGAAAGCACTAGAGGAGAGTGAGAAGTGCATGCTAGCATCCCAGAAACAGGCAGGAAGAAGACGAAGGAAAACAATGTATAGCAGGGAACCTATTGGGAGTCAAGGACAGTTGTTCCTGTCCAGCTGTAATTAGTGGCAACTCTCCCTGGGAGACTTAAGAAATCAGGCAGAGAAATGAGAAAGGAATGGGTTGGTTACCTGAAATGTATGACTCTTTAAGATAGTAAACACTACACAAAGTCATTAAGTCTGCCAAGAACCAATTACTTTGTGGAGCAGTTATGTGCAGTGAGGTGATTGGGAGGCTTAGAGGAAGGAAGAATTGAAGATCTTGGAGGTAAGGACCATTTTTTGGAGGCAGGATCAGAAGTCACTGGATCCATGCACATGTTCCACTCTCTTCTTTCTGCCATGATCTCACCTAAAAGCTCTGTGGTTTTGCCCCAGGTTTCCATGTCATGGTGACTTTATGGAGAACTCAAACTAATTCATCAGTGGCTTTGGGGAAATTACATCAAGTTCCCCTCCATTATTTCTTTGCAAAGTTCACTTATCTGTGGAAATAAGGATATTAATAGATTGGTCTTGTGTGATTCTGCTTCCAAAGGTTTTCTGGTAACGAAGAGTGGAGCGCTTGGATGGTCCCCAGATACTCCCAAATAAAAACTTTCTTCTTTTATCTTGTCTTGATGGCAGGATCACCCTGTGGTACTCACAAAATTCATTGAAGATGCCCGTGAGGTGGAAATGGATGCTGTAGCTAAGGCAGGAAGAGTAAGAACTTTGCTTTTCTTTAATATTAAGCTTGTTTTTCAGGATCAGAGATTTGTGAAAATGTGTGGTTTCAATGATTTACCCTACAGCCATGGATTCATGCTGAGAAGAGCAGAGAAACAAGCAAAGATGAATTCATCTTGGGTTCAAAAACATCATGCTAGGAAAGCTCAACCTACCATGTTGTATGCATCTAAATAGGGGTTTTTTTAAGCATTGCTTAACCATCTGAAGGAATCCTTTAGAATATAATTTTTACTGGATTGTCAAATCATTAGCTTCACAAATGACTTCTGTGAGGATTATATCAGCATGTGTTATGATATTACCACAGTTTTATTATTATTACCACTTCACTTTGTGTTTCATTACTCATCAAAGACAGTTCTCACCAAAACATCACAAACACCTCAGAAGAATGGAGGTGGGGGGAATAAAATATGCAGATTATGTTAGTCAATACTTGTTTCTGTTGGGGAATGAAAACTTTTTTGTGTTCATGGCAAGCAGAACTTAGAGATCTGGTTTAAAGCCTAATTAGCTTTTACTCATTGAGCTGATGTGTGTTGGAGAGAGGAAGGGAACTTTAGGAACTCCAGACTGTGGTAGGTTTCATCATGTTTGCAGTTCGTTTAACCAGAGTATGAAAGACGCTAACATGATCCCCTGTTACTTATGTCTTCTTCAGGCCTACAATATTGGGAAATTCCCTTTTCCCCCCACCTCCCATTTGTGTCCTCTTTTGGAGACAGCTCTGCTTGGGAGACTGGAGATAGGGAAGCAGTTAATGAGAGAGGGTAAGGTGACTAACTGCTGTCTTGTTACTGTCTGCAGGTTATTTCACATGCGGTTTCAGAACACGTGGAGGATGCAGGTGTTCACTCTGGAGATGCCACCCTCATGTTACCCACACAGTCTATTAGCCAGGGAGCCTTGGAGAAGGTAGGTGTTGCAGTAGCACTGAAAAGAGAAAAGAAAATCAGAGTTTGAAGCTGCTTTCCCCTTTTGCTTGGGAGAACTCAATCACCAACAGGGAAAACAAATCACCAATGGGTTTTTTAAAGGCCAGTGTGATGCATGCAAGTGTAGGATGTCTGTGCTCCCTCTGTTTGGCTATATTGTACACAGGATCATCCTTTGATTTAAGCAGTAGTAGAGGATTGTCTCATTCATTTATATGCCAGAGTTCACTTTCCACTTCCTTTTCTCCCACAGTCCTTAAATGGTTAGATCAGGTGTATGACTTTCTAGCTGCCTGCTTTTTCCGCAAAGGATATCAGGATGAATGAACTTCACCTAATGTTGGCGTTTTTCCTTTTCAAGAATAAACCTGGTGATACAGAGTTAGTTGTCAAAATGCATTTTCTAAATGAAATGTGCCAAAATGAGGGTAGAGAGAAAAAATATGCTAAGCCGGAGAGATACATTTAAAGGAATCCAGATGTGAGGTGATTTATCAACATGATGCTGTCTGTTTTATGGGATTGATTTATTTATTATGTACACACACACTTTTATTTATTTTTATAGGTAAAAGCTGCTACAAAAAAGATTGCAAATGCCTTTGCCATCTCTGGTCCCTTCAACATTCAGTTCTTGGTGCGAGGCAATGATGTGCTGGTAAGAACTCTTCTGACTGTTGGAGGAAGTCAGGCTCTGCTTTGGATAGTTAGGTGCATGGTTCCTGCAGTCCTTGCTGTGCAAACTGTGGCAGTAGCAGCTGTGGGTTTCTGACTGCCTTGTCTGATGGTGTGTGGCTCACCTAGTCACACAGCTCTGCCTGTCTATGTAGGAGAGAGCATGGTGAAGTGAGTCTGGGTGCACTGTCAGCAGTAGCTTGATTTCGCTGTGGGGTGCTGTCCTTCCCAAAATTATCCATTTTGTATATGACGGACAGCACTGAGACCTGTGCCTCATCCTATGCACTGAACATCGTTTGCTTTTAGATCTCTGATATTCTCTCTCATTTTAGCTATTTGATTATTAAAATAAGCCTCCCATAGCATTGGAAAGAAAGCAAGACAGTGTTTAAGCCTTTAATATAAGCCATTAAGGTGGTTATCTAAATAGCATGGTCCTAGTAGCTATCAACAGAAGTAGAGCCCTCTGACCCTTCATGAGTAACAGTTGGCTTTCTGTTGCTAATGGAAGAAGGTCAGAGGAGTGTGAGCAGAGTATGACTGAAGAAGTGGTGAATGGAAAGAAAACCTGATGTGTGGTATAGAAGAGATGCATTATTGGTGAAAGATCCTGTTTGAGCTGTTACTTGAGAAGAATGTACTTAACCATTCTTCACCTTTATTCTGTTTCACACGGAGTAATTCAGAAACAGAGGGACAGACTGGAGTTTTTCCTTCCTTGCTTTCACTCAGCTGTGCTTGCCATTCTGCCTTAACTTACCTATTCTTGTCATCCTTCATTTTACCTTCATTCTCACTCATAGGGATTCCTCTTTTGCTAACAACTCCATGGTGCACTTCTTAGCAGGATACTGAACTTCTTTGTTTCTTGCTTGGGTCACTGAATGACTTCTGCATGTGGATGAGGCGTATTGGTAAGGATAGCCTTGTCACTCCTGAAGTGTCATTACCATGCAAAAAGTACAAAGTGGGCTTCTAAAGTCTGTACTTAGTGCCCGTGCCTAAGTTTCCATGCCTCTTGCACATTACCTTGGGGTATAGTGCAACACATTTTCCAAAGTGAACTCTGGATTACTCTCAATTCTAATTTTCAGGCAGTAGAGATGAAACTCAGTTGCAGAACATCTCAAGCTGGGCACTACCCATCCCTCACTGCTGTTAGTAATACTGAATTCAATTTCTGTGTCTCTTACTTGGCAATCTGAAGAGCATCTCTACTAAGAGGAGTAAGGACTGATTTCCAGAAATATGAATCAATCTGTTTCTTCACTGCACAGTGTCTGACCCTGGTATCTCTCCTTTTTAATCCCATCAGGTGATAGAGTGCAATTTGCGGGCTTCACGTTCCTTCCCCTTTGTATCAAAGGCTCTGGGTGTGGACTTCATTGATGTAGCCACAAAAGTGATGATTGGAAAAGAGATTAATGAGTCATCTCTCCCCACACTGGAACATCCCATTATTCCATCCAAATATGTTGGAATTAAGGTATGGTTGCCAAAGAACAGCAAGAAAACCCCACAACACAGCATTAATAGGCAATTAGTACTTTAATGCCCAGGAAGAATAATTTACTCATTGGCCAAAGGTCAAATTGGCCTTTTGTAGTTTACATCAAGATAATGTATGCTGGAAACTTTAGAGAAAACTCAAAGGGATATTATCCAGTGATTATTAACAAAATCAATCCTCCTTTATCTCTTACTTTTGACCTACTCTGAATGAGGTTTATGAACTACATAATAAATATTCACTTGCAGAATTGAGCACTTAAGTTCAGTCTCTTTCATAATACTATCTAATATATGTGTGGACATGTGTTTTGAGTGCCCCCCCAGTTTTATCTTCAGGATCTGGGACATGGCCTGTTGAATACATGGAATCCCATTTGCATGCACCACCAGTTAAAATGGGGTGAAAGTCTTTGATCCTTTAATTTCAGTGGCGCCAAGATTTTACTTTTCATAATTACTAAGCTTATATAGCACCCAAGGTACCAAAGTGTGCTGTAGTTGGTTTTGAATGCTTAGTGGAAGAAAAAGATTAATTGAGGTTCCTAATGATAAAAATCTAGAACAGCAGAGCAGAAAATACAATGGCTAATGAGAATTGTTTCTACAGACACTTTCAAGCTTTAATATCTTCCATATCAAGTGAAAATTGAGGAAATAGAAAGCACCTAACATCTTTCTACTAATAAAAGACTCAGACCTATTAAAATGCAAGCCAAATCTGTGGCCTAAGCTAGCTCAGGTTATTGCCAAGCCAATCAGTCTAGAAGTAGCTTTACATTTCATTTTGATACAACAGATAGGCATCATCTTAAATTCTAGTCTGAGACCTTTTTTATTTTTATGGATCTTATTTATTTTTATAAACATCTATTATCTAGACCTGGAGCTTCTGCACTGTGGGTAGTTAAACAGTCAAGAGTTTTGTCTCTCCAGGGAATGCTGGCTACAGAGTAGAAACCCCAACTATATTCTGAGTACTTCACTACAAAGCCTTTTATATGGCATGTGTTCTGTGTGCATATTCTGTTTCAAAATGTGCCCTAAAAATGTTAGTGATAGTGAGCTACCACAGGTTAGAAATCTGCCATCAGAGTGTGAGCAGGACTGCAAGAGTTAGAAGGATGATATATTGGAGAAATACATGTTTATTTGTTTCAGTCCCTCATCAAGATGCTGGGGGAGCTCATTTGCCAAGTGCTCAGTTGCTTACCAGCCTTGACCAGTGCTTTTCTTTGGATCAATTCATGTCTCTCTCTTTCTGTCATTTCCAAGCGTAGCTGGGGTTTTATTCTTTCAAATGATCCATTAAATTTTCATTCTCTTTCTCTCTCTCCCCTCTTCCTTTCACCAGGCTCCAAAGTTTTCGTGGTCCCGGCTGAGAGATGCTGACCCTGTTCTCCGATGTGAAATGGCCTCTACTGGGGAGGTATCTTTTGATTTGCTATTTTTTTCTAAACCAAAGGGCCTTAAACATCATGAATCTTTGAAAGTGATCTTATTACTGCCTGAATCATGATGGCATCTGTAGCTTCTTCAGAAAATTTTAAACATCTTTCATAGCTGTAAAAACACATTGTCCTGGAAAACCCAGTTTATTCAGCCACTGGATGTCCCTCTTTACCTGCATGTCAGCTCCATGAGTTGGACCTATTAGGTGTGACAGCCTGAAATGAGTTTATCTGAGAGCTCTTGGGTTCTGGGAGGTTCTTGGTGGGTCAGTCTGTTTTATGAATCATCTGTTTCTAGAAAGACAAATGCTTACAGCTTTTAAATCCCTTCATTGACACATACCAGAAGAGCAATATCGAGACTCCAGGTCATGAGCGTTTGGTCTTGGAATGTGCTGATTACTTAAAGGCAACAAATATGTGTGGTGATAGTTTTTCTTGTTGCCTGGTAACCATCAAGGTATGTCCCTAGGTGCAAAAGACAAGGAAGAGTGAATAAAATGTGATGGCTGCACTACTGACTGTCAGTAGGATGAAGAGACTGGGCTACTTTACCCACTCTTTCTATAGCAGGGCTGTGAGTTTCTTCTGACATGAGTCTCTGGTGTAGACTTGGCACACTGTGAAGACATAAAGCTGCTCCTCTTTCTGTGTAGGCTCAGCACTGATGGGAGCTCTCACCCCTCAAGGGGTACAAGTTTCCATCTATGTCAGTCGAAGAGATATTAACTCATGTAGAACAAAGAGGTTTGTTTATGAGTTATTGTGAGCTGTCAATAGTTTCTGTAGGCAGACCCAAGCTACCTTTAGACTTCTCTTGTTCTGTTACTTCTAGAAAGGAGTTACAGTAGCAAGACACTTGTTCTGGGCTAGAAAGCCCACTTGGGAAGTGACTAAATGCTGAGGCAATTAGATGAGGCTTAACTGTGCTCTACCATAGCTAGACAGGTGGCAGAGCCTGGGCTGCTCCATTTGATGTGAGCTTGGGTATGTCTCCATGAGCTGCTTTTATTAGGAAAGCCTTATCATTTTAGTATGAAAAAGCACTACACCCAGATACAAGGTAAGAAGAGTCTTAGTTCTCCTACATCTCTCCAGAATTACTTCATTTTACTCTTTATAATGTGTAGGAAATCAGTATTGCAGAAGATTTCCTTTCAGTGTAGTTAATGGGCAGATAAAAGCCAAGTGACTTCATGACTTCTTTATTTTCAGAACAAAATTGACTACAGAGACATCCCCTCCCCCCCCCAAAAAAAGAAAAAGAATAAAAATGTAACTAAGGGCAAGAATTATTTTTCTGAGCTTTATATGGAGTTAGCGATTACCTTGGCCATAAAGAAGGGATTATTAACTTTTATGAGTTGGAAAGATCCATATTCACAAATGCCATAAAATGTGACAGTTATGAAAGTCTTTCTTATGAGTAAAGTAAGGATAATAGCTTGCTTTGGGTAAAATGCTCAATTATTCCTCAGAGACTTTCTTCACACACACAGAGCTTGATTTGGGCTTGGATTTGTCACATTTGTCTCACAGAGATGTATTTTGCTGGAAGCCATGGTTCCCACAACAGTAGAAGGCGCAGTGCTGGGAGTCAGTCTCTTGGTGTATTGTGGCTGTTTTGACCACACCATGAGAAACTTTTGCTGGCAGGCTGGAAACCCCTGGTCCAAGCCTACAAGGCTGTCTACTGTCCTAAAAGTCCAGGACATCTGCAATCCCTCAGCCAGATCCACTGTACAACAGCCTAAATACTCAAGGATGAGTGTTTAGGGAAAAGCTGAGGTACTAGTTGTCATGATTTGAGCAACCTGCTCTAGTGGAAGGTGTCCCTGTCTGTAGCAGGGGCTTGGAACTGGATGAGCTTTAAGGTCCCTTCCAACACAAACCAGTCTGTGATTCCCTAGCAGGGCTTTTGTTTGTTTCATTGCTCTTTTTTACTTCACAAGATCTGGCAAATCATCATTTGTTGTTCTTAGGCCATGAAATACTGGTTTCTGCTCACCATGGTAACAGTGAGCCCGTGAATGTGAGGGCTCACTCTGTGATGGGAAGGACCATAAGAGGAAAATGGCACAGCAGTTCTCAATCAGCCCCTTTATTCCTTCTCTATCTGTGTGTAGATTTGTTATTTCAGAGAAAAATCTGAGGCAGTTTCTGCTTCTGACTGTTTTTCAACACGTGTGTAACTGGCCAGAAAAAGTGAGGATTAGTTTGGTTGGGTTTTGGTTTTGTTTTCTTTTTGTCATTTTTAACTTTCACAGTCTAACGTTCATGCATTCCTCTCTCTGTCATCAGAATTCCAAAGTTTGGTAAGGAATACACTTTAGTTCTTTCAGAAGATCATTACCACCTGTAAGCAACTGAGCTCCACAGGCAGTTCCGAATGATGGGGAACTGCTAAATTATTTGTATTGATTTCTCTATCAAGTTTTAGTTTATATACAATAAATTACTATGATTAGCATGATTTCTTCCAGTGCCTAAAAAGGGCCTACAAGAAAGCTGGAGAGGGGCTTTATACAAGGACATGTAGTGACAGGACAAGGGGGAATGGCTTTAACCTGCCAGAGGGGAGATTGAGATGAGCTGTTGGGCAGAAGCTCTTCCCTGTGAGGGTGCTGAGGCGCTGGCACAGGGTGCCCAGAGTAGCTGTGGCTGCCCCATCCCTGGCAGTGTTCAAGGCCAGGTTGGACACAGGGGCTTGGAGCAACCTGCTCTAGTGGAAGGTGTCCCTGCCTGTGGCAGGGGTTGGGACTGGATGGGCTTTAAGGTCCCTTGAGCACAGACTGCTCTGTGGTTTTACTTGAATTTCATATGCCTGTGGACTTTGAATGGGAAAACTATCTTTTTGATGAGGTGGTTTATTCACAACAAAGGCCAGAAGTACCTGGCAGCACCAGCACTGTCTTACCCCTGGTTGCAGCGTGCACACGGTACCCTGCCTGCCTGCAGAACACTCACTGTTGTTTTAGCATTATGTAATGTTCAACAATTTGCAGTGCACTCCCAAACATCAGAGCAGAGGCTGTGTACAGCATTCCCATAACTCAGCAGAATCAATTGTTGTTACTCCTTCGTGTGCTGTTTGAAACTAAAGCGTTGCTTATTCCTTCGTTATTGCTTCATTAAAATGATGAGATTTGTCTGCAATGATTTTCTGATCCCCCCTGCCTGCAGGCTCCATGTGAAAGCTGTCTGATTTTACATGGAGCAGCCAAAAGAGCCTATTTAAAGAATTCGTTCCTCTTTTTAAAGCAGTGGGTTTGGGTTGGTTTGGGTTTTTCCTCTCATGCTGCCATCTTTGTTTCTTTCCTAGGTTGCATGCTTTGGGGAGGATGTATATTCTGCCTTCCAGAAGGCTATGCTTGCCACTGGGTTTACATTTCCTAAGGAAGGAATTTTGATTGGAATCCAGGTGAGTCCTAAACATCAAACCTGAGGAAGGACTGACGCAGAGGAACTCAGTAACTGTTGCTGTGTTTTCATTCCTGTGTCTTTATGGCTTAAATGTGTTTCTCTGCAATCCATCTTGAAGAAGATACTCTTGAGTTCAGAGTAATGTTCCAGCTAGAATCCAGAGTCCCTTCCTTGCTTTGTCCCAGATGGGAGCCCTGAGTATACTACTTTTCAATCCTGATGTATAAACTCCCTTCATGTGTACACTGCTTCTTGCCTTTTTGAAACCAGTTACCCTCCAACCTCCAAAACAGTGAGGCAGTTTCCATACTGTAAAGATAGACCTGCTGAGCTTTCCCTCTTTCATTCCAGGCAGAGCTGTAGCATCATCTGACTGTAGAAAACATGATATTGCCATCGTGCCATCAGAACAGGTTGCCCAAGGAAGTTGTGGCTGCC